CTACCTACCTACCTACCTACCTATCTATCTCTATCCCACTACCTAGCTATCTAGCTATCTAATCCATCCACCCACCCACCCACTCATCCATCCATCCCACAAGGTCTCAACGTCTTAGCTGCAAATCAATATATTTTCCATGTCTCCCTGAATTTGCTTATATCAAATAATCCATAGCTTGTTTTTAATCTAATGGGGCTTATTTTCTGCTGCCTGAATTGAAAGGAAAAATTATTCTAGCTCCAGAGGAAGGAGAATTCTGCAATCAGCAATTAGAGTTACTTTATGTAGCTGGTAGACTCTAAACAACCACTAGAAGACAGCAAAAAGCTGCTACCATCTGCATCTTTAGGCTGCTGTTTAGGGGTAATGCAGATTTTTCCAGCTCGGACATGATAGCTCTTTTAATAATTCACTCCCAGGTTTAATCATCTCCATACCAACAATACACACAGAGACAAACAAGGACAAAGGGATGCATATATTAAAGCTGGTCATTTCAAAGCTTATTTGAGGGGGAGTCACTTTTCTACATCTGGGAGCTGCAATTAGCTCTTGTTTTGGCAGCTTCCCTCCAGTTGTTCTACCATAAAGGAATGCAGAAGTGACCTTGCAGTGGAGAAACTGCTAAGGGAGAAGAAATAGCAACTCAATCCACGAAAAGAAGACAGGGTGAGAAGGAAACTTAAAACAATCCCACCTTGATTCTGCTTGCTATAAGGTGGAGTAGAGAGGAAGTCCTAGAGATTTACGAGATTCTGTTAATCTATTCTACATCAGCCCAAAAAGTAATACGGGTAGATCTCGGCTTACAACAATTTGTTTAGTGACCCTTCAAAGGTACAGGTACAATTACACTTACACATCCACAGTCACATGGATCAAAATTCGGACGCTTGCCAACCGACTCATATTTATGACGGTTGCAGATTCTGATGAGCAAAGTCGGTGGGGAAGCCAGATTCACTTAACGGCTGTGTTCCTAACTTAGCAACTGCAGCAATTCACGTTAACAATGGAGGCAAGGAAGGCGGTGGTAAAACGGGGCGAAACTCACTGAAGAACTGTCTCGCTTAGCAATGAAAGGTTTGGACTCAAGGACTACTGCGCTCCTAAAATCCTCTTGTTATCTGTTTCCTGGCCTGGTCTCCCCCGAGGGTCTAACATCAATTCCCAAAGCCTATCAGTTGTACCAAGCAGAATCAAAATGATTGTCAGAACTGCCATCCAGTGCTTCAGCTTTGCTTTGCTAGATGTCAGCCTGTCATAAAATATGGTGGGGAAGGAGGTGTTGGGAGCGGGGAACAGAAACCACTCATCGCGCCTTCCAGAGACATCAGCTCACCGTCCCAAGGCCAGAAGCCTGGGAATGAAATGGAACCGCTTACCATTTCACCCACCAACACAGAGACTGTTACCAAAACAACTCCTTCGAACGTAACTGGACAATAGGGAGATAATAGGTGGGAGGAACGGAAAAGGAGAAGTTAACTGGGGAAATCTTCATGTGCAAACCTTTAGTTCTGGCTTTGCTATACTGTAAACCAGTGGTGGTATTCTACCGGTTCGGCCTGGTTCTGCCAAGCCGGTAGCGGCAATGAATAGCGGAGTCTGAACCAGTTCTCTCTGCTGCTCTGCTGTTGGGCCCACCTGGGCTCCCAGACTCACCGTTATCCTCTGCTTTTGAAGCGCAGCTGCTTTGTGCAGCACAGCAGAGTGCTGCGTGGCAGCTGCTGAAGTGACAGGGAGAGTGCAGGCTTGCAGGAGGTGAGTTGGAACGCCTCTGTGCCTGCGCAAAGTGCTCATTTGATGCACGCATGCACACAAAGTATGTGCACGCACACAGAGCATGCCCACCAAACCACGCCCACCGAACCGGTGGTAAAAGTTTTTGAATCCCACCACTGCTGTAAACCCTTGGCTCTTAGTAAAAGTATACCTTTCCCACCAAATGGAGTCGAGGGTCTTTCTTCCCTAAGGATCCAAGACGAGACAGCTATGACAGTGATATTATTCTGAGCTACTTTCTCACACTTTCCCCTGCTCCAGGACTCAATTCTCACTTTATCCTCCCTTAGTGGTTCAGTGCACAAATAGAAAGGCAGAAGTCCCTAGGGGTACTCCATCACTTCCTACATCTCCTCTCTCTCAACTGAGATGATGGAACTGTCCCAAATTTGAAATGTTGGATTGATCTTCCACTCCAAACTAACTTCCCCTCCTGTTTTATTTCATCTTCTGTAGCCCGAGAACTGCTCACCCTCGTACAGCATGCAGCAGTCGTAGAGATGGGTAGGCAGTGCGGACATTAATGTGATGCTTGAGGATAAGTTCATTGACCCACTCCACCCGTTCCTTGCCCCCTTTGGCCATGAATGCTGGGATCCAAAGGATGCTGCCATTGAGGCTATGAAGGCGTTGAAGCAGCTTCTCGCGCCAAGTGTCATTCACCAGGTCCTCAAAAGCACGCTGGATGACGGAAGGATTCATGGTGACCAGATCAGTCTTCGTTCCAACGTCGTGGGTATATTCTTGCACTGGGGCTAGGTTGCATCTGGAAATGGGAAATTATTAGAATACAGGCTCAGGTTTCCCTTTAAGTGAAAGAATCTGAAAGAATGCAGTGAATTTTGTAAATAAAAATGGTGATAGTTTATAAAGATGATTATGTGCAAACAGAAATATATATTACGGTATTTTCCTAGCAAGGAAGAAAGAGCAGAAATGGTTAAATTGGTTGCTTTATTCCAAGAGGAGAATCTATTTAATTATGTTTTTTTTTAAATTTGGAAATCACTTCTGGATTTTGTGCTTGTGATAAAAAGAAGAGAAGAAACTCTGAGTTTGGCTTTGCCGATTAGATAGATTTTTTGTTATAGAAATGGCTAATAAATGCTAGCGTGTAAAAGGAAAAGGTTGAGGCTGTGATATTATCTTCTACTGTGCTAAAAAGAGTCGAAAGGCAACACTTTTTTCTTTTTTCTCTTGTACCCCATATCTTATTCCCTCCTTCTTTTTCCTTCTCCTAATTTCCTATTTTTCTTTTCCTTTCTATTTTATACTTGGATAAAACAATAAAATAGCAATAGCACTTACATACCGCTTCACCGTGCTTTACAGCCCTCTCTAAATGGTTTACAGAGTCAGCCTATTATAAAAGTTATACATACTAAAAAAGAGAATACAGGCTCACGGACAGACTACCTATTTCATTCTAGACATCATCTACAGCAGTAGTCCACAACCTTTCTAACTTTATTAGAGATGCTGACTGCAGCGTGAGGAAGGCAATCTCTGAAGAAAAACCACACAAAAAGCGTACATTGAAAGCAATGTCCAAAACTCTCCCCCACTGGGATAATAGTCCAATCAGGTTCTATTCCCACGTTTTTGGAACCTGGTGCCTCCAGCACTGCAGTAAATTCCTTTCCCAGGCCCAGCGTCCTTTAAGGCAGGAAGATGGCTTGGTTTGGCACCTCTGGTTCCGGTCCGTGTCCATACTCCCCATTTTCCCATCGCCTTCTTTTCACACCTCCAAGTGGCGTGGTGGCCTAGAGGGGGAACTCTCGTCTCACAATCAGGAGGCTGTGAGTTCGATCCTAGTTAGAGGCAGATATTTCTCTCTCTGGGAATATATCTGCTGAACAAAACTCTGCATTGGCAACAGGGAGGGCGTCGGGCCATTAAATCACTCTGCTAGCTCCATTCAGTTGCCCAGAGTCCACCCCTGGGGTCATAAAAAGAAGGTGATGATGATTCTTTTCACACCTCCGGCCCTCTTCCCTTCCCAAATGCCCTCTCTCCCGTGGTTAAGGTAGTTGCTAGCAAGCTTCAAAGAAAGCGAAGATCGGCAGCTGGCAGCTGCCTTCCATTCAATGGTCTCTCTGTAGGTCTCCAAATGAGAAACACAACATTGTAGGGTTGTGCCAAAGCTCTACCCCTTTGGGCACAATGTGCTTATGCCACTCTGATGCCTCCGACAGGGCTTCCATTGTCCAAGCCTTTTCCCATCAGTCAACAGCTTCTTTAAGCTCTCTGTTTAAAAACAAATAAGGAAGGAGCCGATATTGAACCCACAGAACTAAGCAGCCTAGCTAGGTGGTACCTTAATAAGAGAGAAGGAAGGAAGGCGAGAAGGAAGGGCGAGAAAGAAGTTTTCCTGCTTCTTTGCCACCCAAGGTCTGTCTTACCCTGCCTGAAGCTGAGAAGTCTCCTTGCCTTTTTCAGGAGGGGGTTACCTTATCACAAAGCTGTGGGTATCAATTTCCTTGCCGCAGCCGCTGTTCAACAGGATGCCTGAATTCCCCACGATGGCACAGGTCCGATAATGCTTGCCCTTCAGCGGGGATGTCCTCGGCAGGAGCGCATAGAGATTTTGGGACACATTCATGGTGCTGTCTCTGTCAAACACATAGTGGATGATGTCCCCCGGTTTCAGCGTTCCCTTGAGCACCGAGATGTCTTTCTCGGCATCCAAAAACTTCAGGATGTGTTTTCTTTCGGAAGAAGAGGAAGATACGAACACAGAAAGAGCCGTTATGCCTCAGGAATGCTGCCTAGCCCTTCCTCCTTTCCTCTTGTATGGCAGGGAAAGGTCACAAAACAGAGCAAAGGTTTTTTTGGGATGGTTGCAGGAGTGGGCTGCTATGGGTTCTCCCGGGGCTCGGGCAGACCCATAGCTAATGTTATGGCCAGTTTTACAAACCGCTAAATCCTACCCCTGGCTGGCCCTGCCCACCCCTCCCACCCTATCCCGCTTCTCCCAGGAGCCTCCACGAGGCCCATTTTGTATGCGAAGTAAGTGCAGGGCCTGCACGGAGGCTTGGGGGGATGGGGAAGAAATGGGCCTCCTGGGAGTTCCAGAAGTTTGAAAACGGGCCTGTTTCTGGTTTCCGGAGGGCCTCTGGAGCCAGGAGGAACCAGTTTTCATCCTCCCAGAGGCTCGAGGAAAGCCTCCGTAGCCTGGGGAGGGTGAAAAATGGGCCTCCCGGAAGTTTGGGTAGGCTTGAAATGGGCCTGTTTTCGGCCTCCGGAGGGCCGCCGGAGCCTGGGGGAGGCAGATTTCACCCTCCCAGAGGCTCGAGGAAAGCCTCCGGAGTCTGGGGAGGTGAAAATGTCCCCCGGCCCGCTGTGGTGCAGGAGGCCAACTAGGCCCCACCCACCCTGGCCACGCCCACCCAGCAATCACGCAGAGAACCCGTTGCTGACATTTTTGAAGCCCACCCCTGGATGGCTGGGAAATCCTCTCTTGCAAATGGGGACAGGAATTTTGAAATTTCAATTGCTCCTGTAGCAAGAAGGGGAAGCATGAGACTACTATTGATTTATGTAACCTTATGGAAATTTGGAGAGGGAGAGGAACGTCCCGCTCTCCCCCCAAAAGAAGGCAACCCCCCCCCGCCCCGAAGAAGTTGAAAGGTAGGCCTTCATTCCTGACCAACTGCACAGATGTGTATTCATTAAGCATTCAGCTCGACTCAGAGGCCATTTCTGTAATACTAATTCTTCTTGGCATGCATAATCTATGTGCACTTCATGCAAAAATCATTTCCCCAGCTCTGTCAACAAGGTTTTCTAGCCTGGAGCTATCCCATTCTTTGAGGGATTCCAACTTATCCAAACAGAATTGTACAATGGAACAAAGGAAGGAAGTAATCCATTGGTGTTTGCAAATGGCTTCTTTTTATATATTCCATGAGATGAAGGCTTTTTTTTTCAGGGTTGCCTGTGAATTTAAGTACTGTGTTGCTTCTTTTTGCATGAGACCGGGACGCTGAAATATGAGCCTGTTGCCAAGCTTCCGAAATTTGATCACATGACCATGGGGATCAGTGGTGAGATTCAAATTTTTTTACTACCAGTTCTGTGGGCATGGCTTGGTGGGCATGGGGTGGCTTGATGGGAGTGGCAAGGGAAGGATACTGCAAAATCCCCATTCCCTCCCCGTCCCACTAACCTGCTTTGCAGCTCCCTTTTCATGTGCAAGGGCCACAAAAGAAGACCCGGCCGACCAGCTGGGATTCGGGATGGGGGCGGGGCCAGTCAGAGGTGGTATTGGCTGGTTCTCCGAACTACTCAAAATTTCCATTACCGGTTCTCCAGAACTGGCCAGAACTGGCTGAATACACGACCTCTGATGGGAATGCTGCAATGGTTGTAAGTAAGGATTGCCTGTACTGGCGTTTCCCCAGGAGCTTTTAGAGCAATTTTATTCTGCTTGTCTTTAAAATCATTGGTGTTAAGGGAGCTGCCTATGGGGCCATTTGTCAAGAGAGGGATCAGAAATCTATCCTTTGGAAGGCCCAAACTCACCCCATGAATTGACCCCTGGTTGTTCCACTCCTTGTCCACCACATAACTAGTGTCCACCTTGGCCTTTGCCTGCCATTTGTCAACCGCAGCTGACGTTTGTCCCTATGGGCCATTCCCCCATACCTGATGGTCAGTGACAGGGTCTGATTGTGTATCCACTGGGATTGAACTGTCTTGTCCTGGTGCTTAACGTTGCCATTGCTTTGCTCAGCAACAGGTGGAGATGAGGAACCATTTACTGTCCCTTCCGTTCTGGAGAGAAAAAGGAGAACAAAGAAGAATGATAGATGGATTGGTGGGTGGGTGGGTGGGTGGGTGGGTGGACGGATGGACGGACGGACGGACAGACAGACAGAGACTAGATAGATTGATAGATAGATAGATAGATACAGATAGACAGACAGATGGAAAGACAGGCAGGCAAGCAGATAGATAATAAATAGATTATAGAAAGAGAGAGAGAGAAATAGATGGTAGATGGTAGATATGTAGATAGAAGAATAGATTGTGTGTGTGTGTAGATGGATAGATGATAGATAGATAGATAGATAGATAGATAGATAGATAGATAGATAGATAGATAGAAGATAGATAGAGATAGATAATGAATAGATTATAGAAAGAGGGAGAGAGAAATAGATGATAGAGAGATGATAGATATGTAGATAGATGAATAGATTGTGTGTGTGTGTGTGTGTATGTATATGGATGGATGGAAAGAGAGAGAGAGAGAAAGAGAAGGTGCTATTTATTAATAGTATTCCCAATATCCTTCTGATTGCTCGCCTATGCCAGCCAGCCTGCAATCCCTGAGAAGTAAGCTAGTTGAAGCTATCAGTTAGAAATTGGCTGGGTTTCCCCATTCCTATTTCTCTTCTGGTGACAGTCAAACACCATCCTGATGGGTTGGGAGACCTGACTCTTATCAGTTTGGATTCCTCTCTATTTTTTCTCTTTTGAAACCAATCCATTTAGGTTTTCTCTGTTTCTCACCCCCGTGTCTTATTTCCTATATCACACTGATTTTTAAAAAAAATAAAAATAAACAAAAAACAAAACAAAACAAAATGTACTATAATGTGCTTGCAATTTGGTAAGCATTTTCTTGAAGAGGCTCATTTTGTTTGCAAATTAATGTACACCATGTGTGCAAGCGGTTTTCCCTCAGGCCATTTGGAAATGTTGTTTTCACGGATACATGCAGAAACCTGGATTTCTCATTTTATAAGTGTGTGTGTGTGTGTGTGTGTGTATGTGTGTGTGTGTGTAAAATCTGCATATTTAAATTGGTAACTTTGGGTTTCTTGGTCAGTTTCAAAGTGTGGAATTAAATGCAAACCTTGCATATTCCTTCTCGAACGTTTGCTTCCTATATGCCTCATATTCCAGGGGTCTCGTCACCCATTTACTTCTTTGGTTGAACATGCCGAAGCAATCAATCCTATGATGCTCATCTTCCTCAACCTGACATCTTGCATATTTGCAACTTTGGCCCATGTTGATCTTCCCAGGAGTAGCAATCCTACCAAATCTGGGAAGCCATAGTCTAGGAAAGATTATCCAGTGGAATCAAACCAAGAAACTAAGCAATAATGCGATAGAGCACATCGGTTGGTACATGAATCCCTTCCACATAAGCAGTTCTTTATTTCCCAGGTCATCTCAATTCAGTTTGAAATGCCTCTGTGGATGATCCAGGCTGGTCTGACTATCTGGAGCTCAGGATGCTATAAACATGAATCTCTGGGCTTATCTATGAGTAAAAGGCTTAGGAAGAGCCATCAGCTACCAACCCTTGCTAGTCTTCCACATAAGATTAGCTGAGCTCAGAGAACTGTCCACCAACCAGTGCTGAAATGTTGACCAGTAACTGAGTACCACTTTTTCAGGTCAATGACTCAACCCATGACTTTCCCCTCCCCCGCTTTTTTCATTTCAGTAGAAGGGAACATATTGCTAACACATTGCAGTGTTTATGAGATTGCCATACCAACCTGCAAGACTAAATTGTCTTCAAAACTTCCCACATGTTGGTAATGTAAACAAAGAATTTATTTGAAGCTAAAATCCTGAAAACAGAAAGCAAGGTACAAATGTTGTTTGTTCTCGTTGTAGAGAATAACTCGCCTGTACCCAGCCAGATGCTAAATTGGAGAGGGGAGAGTTTGCATGGGTAATCACACATCGATGTAGAAAACTTTTTCCTTTTTCTTTTTGCCATGTATATGTGTACATTCAAACTAGACTGTGATGTTTCTTTGTGTCATGTGTGTGTGTGTGTGTGCATGGGCATAGGCATAAAGGTTATCTTTTGAGAGCTGAATGCAAGGACATTTCATTGTAATATATGCTGATTAGTGTACATTTAATGTGACAATATTCTATGCTATGCTATGCTATGCTATGCTATGCTATGCTATGCTATGCCATGCCATGCCATGCCATTCTCTATTCATTCTATTCTCTATTCACTCTACTCTACTCTACTCTACTCTACTCTACTCTACTCTACTCTACTTCTACTTCTACTTCTACTTCTGCTTCTATTTCTACTATTTCTATTTCTATTCTAAATTTCAGAAGAGACAGAGATGCATTTGGATCCAGTAAAGATCCAGCTGTTTATTTGCTTTCAACACTCTCAACCAGTTAATGGCTGGATTCACCTGCTATCTATGGTTTGCTAAAACCATTGTGGCTTAGTGTAACGTCAGCAAACTGTGCCTTAGACATAATCCACAATGAACCAAACAGGGCCTAACAAGATATACTATACAGTCTCTTTGTGGAAAATGCCCAGAAACATGGGGGAAAAGCAGATCCAGAGAGTAAGTCAATAGAACATCTCCCACACACACACTGAAAAGGAGAAAATGATGGAATGAAGGAGATTAATGGCACCTTTGAGCAGAAAACAAAGGAACACGCCATCTATTTTACGAACCTATTCAATCTGCTATGTAAACTGCTCACTGCTGATCGGACTGCACCTCGGCCCCCAGAATTCCTGCAAAACAAAAGGAAATGTATTATTTATCAACTGCTCTCAGCGATTCCTTCTGCACCACGGAGTAGCAAAAACACTCACAGAGTTCATCGTCTAGAGATAAGATGCTTAGATACGCTCTTGTGTTCAGAGACTGTTTCTTTTTTTCTCCTGTCCTTCACAGCTCTGGTGAAACATCTTCTAACCAAGATGAAAAGCAAGCAGGTTGGTGAGAAATGATTCCACCCAGGCCAATCCTTTGTTGGAATTGATCAAGAGTGTTGGCCAAAGGGCTCTTATTCAGAAGGAACTTCCAATGAAATCAATAACAGCAAAGCGAGCAGGATAATTTTTGCAAGGTCTGGTCTAGCTTTTCCTTGCATCTTCTATTCACAATTTCCAGCTGAATCCAAACTTTCCCAGAAACAGAACTGGCCCTCTGGAAACTAAAGCCCAACATCTCTGCAGGGTGAAAGACGGATACACGGCCTCCTTTTCGGGAAATTCACAACTGCAAAATCAACTTTGAACTGGAAAGCTAAGCATTATTGTGGAGCAGAGTCTTTCTTATTAGGACTTATGGATAGTCAATAAGAAAAGACTCATGGATGATGGGTTTTATATATGGCAACACACACACAAGCACATACACACAGAAGTCCATATAATTTGGGGTGGGGAAAACTGCTGTTTTTGTATTACTGAGAGAGTGTGACTGGCCAAGATCAAGAAGGTTCAGGAAAGACCAAAACTTGGGTATTCTCATTCCTAACCCTGTACCTTAACTACCAGAACAAACAGGTTCTCTTGTTGCATGATACAAGCTGTCTAACATTCACTGAAAGTTATTTAAGTTCTTCGCCAAGAACATGGTATACTTGTGCACCCACCCAAAACATTTCCAACATCACCATAAGTGTTTTTTCACTCTCCATAAATACACGAAGCAAACAAGGGGACATCACCAATGCTTGTTTTATACGTTTCACACTATTAGGAGCTGCTCACATTTGCATGGTTTTCTCAAAGATCTGCTGAAGAGTTGATATGAGCTGCATTACACACACACACACACACACACACACACACACACACACACAGGGAGAGGGAAGGAGGACGGAAGAAGAAGGAGAGGGGGGAGAGAAGCAGGGTGGAAGGAGAGAGAGGGAGGGAAGGGGGAGGGGGAGAGAGGGAAGGAGGGTGGAAGAGAGAAAGAGGGAGAAGGAGAGAAGGGAGGAGGGAAGGAGGGTGGAAGAGAGAAAGAGGGAGAAGGAGAGGAGGGAAGGAGGGTGGAAGAGAGGGAGCGGGAGGGGAGAGAGAAGGGGGAGAGAGGGAAGGAAGGTGGAAGACAGAAGGAGAGAAAGAGGGAGGGGGAGAAAGCATAACATTTGCCTGCAGTTCTCAAATTTTGCTCACAAGTCATCTTTTGCATCCTTTCAATCATAATTCCGCCAAAATTCTTCCCTGGCACATTTAGCTAACTACTGTTGAGTAGATTTCATTCAGTTGTTTCCTTTGTAGGGAGAACAATAATGGTGGTGTTTCAATTATCAGGCACAGATGGAGCCTTTACACACATCTTAAACCAATTGCACAGCTACCCAGTAAGTAAACCACAACTGTTCTTCTCCAGTTACACCAACTACTCCTGCCACTTTACAAATTTCCTTTCAACGTTTATGACTTCCATGTCATCATTTTTGTCCCTGGAACCCTAGCATAGGGTAGTCCTCAACTTATAGCAGCTCATTTAGTGACCCTTTGATGTCACAACGGCCACCAAACAAAGTGACTTACAGACGTTTTTCATACTTACGTGCATTGTAGCATTCCCATGATCACTTGATTAAAATTTAGACCCTTGGCAACTGACTCACATTTATGATGATTGCAGTGTCACGGGTTCCCCTTTTGCAACCTTCTGACAAGCAAAGTCAGTGGGGAAGCCCAGATTCACTTAACAACCATGTGACTAACTTAACAACTATGTTGATTCACTTAACAACTGCGGCAAGAAAGGTCCTACAATGGGAGAAAACTCACTTAAGAAATGTTTCACTCAGCAGCAAAAATTTTGGGCTTAATTGTGATTGTAAGTTGAGAACTACCTGTACTCTGCTCCAGGTTGTGTTCTCCATGATAGTTTATAGCCGTGATGGCGAACGTATGGCACATGTGCCGGCACACAAACTGCAGGCAAACTTACCTCACTGCACATGTGTGTGCCTCACAGCTGAGTTTTGGTGGGCTTGAAGCCCTTTTCAGCCTCCCAAAGGCTTGAGGAAGGCTTCTGAACGCTTTGCAGGCCGAAAACTAGCCCCGTTTCATTATTTCCTGTTTTTCCGAAAATACTGGAAGTGACAAAACAGGGCTAGTTTTTGTCCTGAAAAGCCTGCAGAAACCTGCAGAAGCCTTCCTTAAGCCTCTGGAGGTCAAAAAAGACCTCAAACCAGCCGAAAATCAGCTGTGAGGTGCAGTGCAGGTAAGGGGGTAGGGGGGTGGAGGATTGTACGCACATGTGTAGGGGGCACATTGCCTTCTGGGTGTGGGCACGCGAGCGCGAGCATGCAAGCACATGTACCATTTTTGGCACAGGAGCCCCAAAAGGTTAGCCAACACTGGTTTATAGCCTTTCTCTTTTTCTATTAGCCTTTTTATAATCAGCTTTGGGGTTTCCCCCACACACACACACTGCATAAGGGACTTTTCCAATCACTCTTGCCTGTTCATTACATCTCCAAAAAAAGCATTAGCTTCAAATCCAGTCAGTTTTTCATTGTTAGTGTTTCTGGTGAGCTTCATTACTAGCGCTTCCAGTAGATTTTACTTCAGCTCATATTGAATTATTTGTTCCTTTTGCAGGTTAAGCTCTTCTCAACAATTGTCTGCAGCACCACAGCTAAAAGGCATTAATTCTTCTTCTTCTTTCTGATGATCCAGGTTGGCAATACATACCTTTCCTTCGGGTGATGTCTCTGCAGTTTAATATTTCATCTCAGTTCATCACGGTCTTTCTCCCAAGTAGCAGGTGACTATTATAGTGGTTAGTTATCACTCTAGTGAATTGCTGAGCCTAGTCAGATACAAATGTCACATCAACTGTAACTTCTTCAGTTATTTGCATTGCCTTGGTGTTACTATATTTCCCTGAAAATAAAACCTAACTGGAAAATAAGTCCTAATGGATCTTTTGGAGCAAGAATTAACATAAGTTCCAGTCTTATTTTTGAGGAATCCGGTACCTATTGTCGTAACCTAAGGCTAATTGATTAGCAAATTGCCTCCAGAAATTGTGGGTGCTCCAGCGCTGGAGGGTTTTAAGTAGAGACTGGACAGCCATTTGTCTGAAATGGTATAGGGTTTCCTTCAAGGGTTTGGACTAGAAGACCTCTAGGATTCTTTCCAACTCTGTTATTCTGTCTATTTTGCCTTCAACAAGAAACTTTTTTTAAAGATTTCCTCATGTTTAGCCCTTCAAGTGGTAATCAGCATGTCTTTGATTGTTGTTTCTCCCAGGATTTAAATTCCATTTCTTATTTCTTCTATTTACTCTTATCATTTTTTATTTCTTCATATTTAGTTTCTTCTTGGGATAGATGCCCCAAGCCTGCCGAGTTAGATCTAAGAACAGCTTTTTCTAAGAACAAACATTCTTCAGCATACACAAGAACAAAACTGAATCAAAAGATGGATGGAAGAAACAATTAAGCAGGCAATAAACTTACAGGAGGATACGGCTGAAGGACCTGACCTCCCTTATGATACTTAGAGGACACAGAGTAGTTTGAGAGTTGGAAGGCCTAAGTGTAAAACCAATATGCTCAATTGGAGGATGTTAGCAATAACAACATGCTGTGTGAATGTGGAGATACACAGAACCCGGCCCATCTACTGGTATGTCAGCTACTACCAGAAACACGTACTGATAATGACTTATTTCTAGCCAGAGGCAATGCCAAGAAGGTGGCTTCATTCTGGAAGTTTAAAGTTTGATGTAGGCATGGAGGGAGGAGGAGGGGGAGGAGGAGGAGGAGGAGGAGGAGGAGGAGGAGGAGGAAAACAAGAACAAGAAGAAGGAACAAGAAGGCATGCATAAGCGCATAATTGTGCCTACCGTCCCTGTCCTATTGTCCCCAATTATTAGTTCCTATTTCTTATATTTAAATTTATGTTTATTCTTATTTCTATTGTATTGTAAGTTTTTAACAAAATAAAATGAATAAATAAAATAAATAAACTTTGTTCTAGTCCAGTAGACATTCTCCTTTCATTCCTTTCACGTCCATTTCACTCCAAATTCACTCTTGATGCTATTGATAAAGGCTCCTTTTTTACATTGAGAATCTCACTTCGCTCCTGAATTGCTCATCAATTATCTCATTCTTTCATTATAAACAATGAAAGAAGTTGTCTTCCTGTGTATATCTGAATAGACATATGCTTGAGTTATATATTTGAAGCAGTATTTAAGCAGAGGCTCACAATATAATTCTCATTCATTCTTGCCTGAACGTTTGAGTGACCCAAATGGTCTTTGCTACACTCCACACACCCATTTAATCATGGTTCCTAACAACGCATCTCCCATCTCCAATTATATTAATTCAAAATGTCACTCAATTTTCCGCCAGATTCATTTCTGGCCCTTTCACGATCACCATTCACTGGAATGTAACATGCATTTTATTACCAACTTACAGATTCCTATTTTCATAGATACTCGTAGTAGTCTGGAGAACACTAATTCATACTTTCTCCGATACATTTTAGACCTTTCATTTATAACTAAACATACCTCTTCATTTCTCTGCTGGTATTCATCCATTCATCAAGACTGCTTCATTTCAGATCTATTACATTTTTCCCCTGAGAGGTTTTTTTTTTCACACTGAAGCTTTCAGCAGTTAGTCTTCCAAGCATAAACCGGCTGGAAATGAAGCTGGCTTAAGAAACCCCGTTATAGATTTTAACCCCTTCCTCTACAGGTAATCCTCAACTTATAACAGTCTAGTGATGGTTCA